TATAGTACAATGGATTTATTATATCTGGGAATATTTTTTAATGATCTCTTAAAGTTTTTAATGTGACTAAATATTTCTATTTTGCACTGCGCTTTTAAGAAATAAATAAATACTACTCTAATACAGTATAATTATATCTAGATGAACATACACGTGCCGTTACACAAATTAATTCCTTTCTACGCATAATCTGCGCGTTTATAAATCCTTCCTTTGGCACGAAGTCCTTTATATGAAAGTCCCCTTTACGACCCTAATCCCTAGCAATAAAGTCAAAAATCTATAGATATCAGTTTCTGTCATCCACACTCCTGGCCGATCATAACATGCCATATTTTATCTGTGACTCCGATTTGGTCTCTTTTTTGGTGGAACCTTTCGCAGATAATATTTGTTTGTTCGGTGTTACACTTCGGTGCATCGTTACCTTTATAGTTGCTGTTTTCGAATATTAATTTCGTTCAATTTTGTAAACGAAACACAATCATATTTATTCTGAAAATTATTGAAAAAGTATATAGGTACTTACTTTTATCATAAAGAGTTACTTATTTATATTTTTACAAGCCAATTATTTCATCAATTCTATGAAATGAAATTAACGTATCCACTCACAAGGATACTATGTAAAACTCAGAGCCATATGTAAATGAAATGCAAAACAGAAAACTGAATAAAACAAATCAGCTGACGTGGTATTCAGGTCAACGTATAAAAAACAGTGATAACAGGGTTCCTTCTCCATATGTATAAATAATGAAATTACCTTGCTATATTACTGTGACCTACTGAACCCCTTAAAATAGATGCTCCATGGGGCTCTCCTCGTAAACTACGGCGCAGAAGGCTTATGGAAAAATTTACCGTAGGTAGGTACTACTTATGTAACACCTTAGTCGATATTTTCTTGTTAGGTTAGAATTTTACTCGAGTTTATCAAGGTTAACTTTAATAATGTGGTATATTTTTAGCTATCATAATAAACAACGCGTTTTCTTACAAAAATAACAGTCTAATCGGAGATGCAGATGTAGCGGACCTCTTTTTAGACACGAAATTGACAGAAAACTGTATAGTGGCAGATTAAACTTAATTAATGAAATACTCTTGTGACATATTCAAGAAAACATACACGCCTACAGCTAGCACATAATTACTATCACCAACAAACATAACAAACAATACGAAAGCCCTACAAAGGTTACCACAAAAAGTAATTGTTCAAGTGAAAATAAACAAAAACCATTGTACATTACACTTGAATCTATCCTTAGCTGTAATTATGGGAGAAATGTAGGGATAAGATAAGGAAAACCCTTGTGGGACAATCCGAAAAACTTGTAATGATGCCGCTTGTATCGGCTTCAAGGAAAAAAATGTTGAGAGACGTCCATTAGAGGCACAAATTGCGATATTTTCGGGTACTACAGCCAGCTCGTTTAAAATACGCCATTCCGTTTTATAGAGGCATAAAATTAAAGTAGTCGCTGTGAACTTGGTTAAGTAAAGGGTGTAGATTTGAAGGTTTAAAGGTATATTGAGTTTTTATAAAAGCCTATTCAACTAAATAGAGTAGATAAGGTATAATAAACTGTACCTGTCATAATGATGATTGTAACACCGAGTATGCGTAGAGATGCAGCTTCACTATGCATCTTCTATTGCTTATACCACGAGGAGTGCTCCGAGGAATTATTTGGTCTGATACCTGCCACGTCTTTTCGCCATCGTCCCACACGACGGCATTTTCATCCCCATAATATAGATGGTTGGCAGGGCATAGCTGTACGTTTTTCTCGCAACTTTCTGCTTCGCAAAGCAAAACTGTGGAATGATCTGTCGTCGGCGGTATTTCCAAATCGATACGACCTTCAAACGTTCAAGAAACGAGCGTATTCCTTTTTAAAAGGCCGGCAACGCACCTGTTACTCCTCTGGTGTTGCGGGTGTCCATGGGCGCCACTGATCGCTTACCATCAAGTGATCCGTCTGCTAGTTTGCCTCCTATTCCATAAAAAACTAGTATAAAATGGACCAAAAGATAACAATGTAATGTTCATAAATCTACCATTCTCCATTTTTCATTGAATTCTAAACAAACCTGCAGCAGGTTGGTCTAAACAAATCCTCTGACCCTGAACCACAAGACCGTTGCATGCAGACTGAACGGCAAAGCCTAAAAGTAATAAATAACACTTCAACCGCGCCGTATTTCAGAAGTCGCTTCCGACAGCGACAAAATATCTGCAAGTCTAATGGCTCAAGTTGCAGAGAGGCCATGCATTACAAATGCAAGCGTGCAAGTCGCAGACGCATGCCATTATCGCCCGTCTGGATTATGCCAACGCTAAAATTTCGCCTTTGTGCATAAATAGGGACAGTAATAACTTGATTGGGATGACAATATGACATGTGCTTTTGTTTTGTTGTGTATTTGTACCTTGGTGTGTGATTTGGAAGTTTTCATTATTAAGAAAAGGACCATTGAAATGAAATGATTAACTAACATCACGGGTTACTCACTTTGTGCGGTCGCGGCGACTCCGCGCAGCTCATAAGGAAGAACCCCTCTGTGGTTCGAAACTAGTAGAGCTTTTCTCAGTATATTCACGTGAGTAACCCGTGATGTTAGGTAATTTAGTATGTCTCACGATAGTTATTACAAAAAATTTAATGATATTTATTTCTGCCTCATTGGCCGAGTGGTCGCAAGTGCGACTGTCGGGCAAGGGGTCTCGGGTTCGATTCCCGGGTCGGGCAAAGTATTACGGGGTTTTTTAAAAAAATTCACAGTAGTAGCACGGAGTCTGGAATTGTGCCCGGTTTATGGCAATACGCTCACCCCCTATTACACTGGACTCATAACATAAATAGTGAAAAGTGGGTGTTACATTGTACAGTGGCAATTATGTCACTGGCAGAGGTGTACTAATGTACACCCCTGCCTACCCCTTCGGGGATAAAAGGCGTGATGTTATGTTATGTTTTATTTATTTCTGCAAATAGGTTACAAAGTAACACTTTAATTCGGCAATCTTTAAATTACTAATATGGTCGACAACATCATAACTGTGTGGTTTTGACCTCATTTTAGTTCAGTTTGGTGTTATGCGGATTTTACACAATAGATGTTGCCTAAACCCCTTTTCTCGACCCGGGAACCATTGCTCAATAGTAAAACTTCAAATCAATACTCGGCCAATGAGATAGCCATAATGGCTAAAATTGTACTAATATTAAGGAAAGTTTGTATGTCTGTTTGTTACTCATCATCATATCAGCCACAGGACGTCCACTGCTGAACATAGGCCTCCCCCAATGACTTCCAGATAGGCCGGTTGGAAGCGACCTGCATCCAGCGGTTCCCTGCGACCTTAATGAGGTCGTCTGTCCACCTTGCGGATGGACGTCCTACGCTGCGCTTGCCGGTACGTGGCCTCCACTCGAGAACCTTACTGCCCCAGCGGCCGTCGGTTCTCCGCGCTATGTGCCCTGCCCACTGCCACTTCAACTTGCTAATCCGCTGGGCTATGTCGGCGACTTTTGTTTTTTTTTTTTGTTTGTTTATTTGTTTGTTTGTTTGTTACTTCTTCACATAAAAACGGCTGAAGGGATCGAGGTGAAATTGTAAACAGGGTTTTTCATACATATTATGGTCTAGAATAAGACATATGCCATTTTTTATTCCACGGGCACGCGGACGAAACCGCTGGCAGAAGCTAGTCATCCTAAATAATAACTAAAGATAAAATCGAGGGGTAACGGACTATTTGGTTTAAGCGACATTTTGGTCGATATTGAGTTATATATATATTCGGAATCAGCGAATTTTTCTCCGTCGAATATATAATATAATAACTCAATATCGCCCAAAATGTCGCTTAAACCAAATAGTCCGTTACCCCTCGAAATAATAATCTTACCAACATAATACCTAATAATATTATTACTCGTCTAAATAGCTTACACAAACAAAGACCACAGACTATAAACGGCTAACTATTAATTCTGCTATTAATCCTAATATCATGAGCGCCATTACAAGCTCGATAAAATAGGAATAAAGAGCTATTCTCTATTATCTATCTAGATTCTAGACCGATCTATATCTCAGTCTCGCCGTCTACAAAGTATTGTCCAATTAAACGGTCGGTAGAATATAATCCAGGGGTGTAATGTAACGTATTTGGGTTCTCAAGGCTGATCGCTAACGACCAAATATCGGTTACCAATACTTTATCCTAAATTATTGAGTACGACATCCATTATAACGGTTTTTATTATACTTGTGTTGTGATGGTAATTTCGTGGAAAAGTGTTAAGAGTATAATAACTTCGAAATAATAATCATTAGCTGGTCTAGTATTCTTAGAAGGAGTAGCCCTTTTGACTGTCTATTAGGTATAAATAGTACTCGTATTTCTGATTTATTAACCTGGATTATGACTAAGTATTCAAATATTAATAAATAATATGAAGATAAAATGAGCAAAATACAAAATACACTGCGTTACACGATTTTGGTACCCACGTAAGTGTTAGCTGGAATGAATAGCTAATGAGTCACAGATTAAATGTTCCAAACATATGTGGTATCTATCACGTCTAGTTTTCGAGGTACATGCCAAATTATTTTTTCTATTACCCTCACTTTAGGCGAAAACGAAATAGTTACCATTTTTGATGTGTTGTACTTTTTATTATTTTGTTTTGTTTAGTAGTCATTTTTATTCGATAACGTCGATATATTCGTACATATTTCTTTGGAAATCCATTATGAATACTGGACTAAGTGGTCATCGCAACTGCTTAAATGCATCAAATAAGTTTTGTTATGTTTGCGGACAGTATATCGTGAAGTCACAAACAAAAAATGTTTCCAAAAAAGTGAGAAGTGCATATTTACTACATTTTGGACGTGCTATAAATCAAGATAAACCATGGATACCAAAGTTAAAACTCAAAGAAGGAATATTTGTAGGACCACAAATAGGCACATTGATGATAGACCCAAATTTTGAGAAAAAGGTTATTGACAAGGAACATGATGCCTGGTTATCGCTAAAAGCAGTTATTAAAGGGTTTTTAGGGAACCACAGGGCCGAAAATGCGAAAAAACTAGTTGACGACATGTTAGAAGCATATAAAAAGTTGGGTTGCAGAATGTCGTTAAAAATTCACTTCCTTCATTCTCACTTTTCTTTTTTCCCATCTAATCTTGGTACAGCCAGTGATGAGCAAGGTGAGAGGTTCCACCAGGATGTACAGAAGCTTGAAGAACGATTTCAAGGGCGTTGGGACACAACTATGCTAGGCGATTACTGCTGGCGTTTAAAACAAGAAGATCATTCAAAGCACAAAAGAAAAAGTTAAAGTTTTGCGATCTTTTGTGTTAAAACTTTTATAATTTTTTTTTTAACCTAATGGTAAAATTAAACTTAGTTAATGTGAAAAATCTGGTTGATTTAACTAATTTTCTTTAAAATATGTTTAGCATTTAAATTTTTAATCAATTTGGCACATTTTATGGAAGAAAAATGAACGTGATGATGCAAATTTTGTATGTATTTTTAATAAACTATAAGTATTCATAAGAAAACATGACATTTCAAAGCGGGTACTCAATTTTTTTTTTTCATTTGTAACGCAGTGATATTATCTTAATAAGCGATGTAGACCTTATACAGTTAGATTATTATTATCAGTAATTTTGTTTATAGTACAATAGACACGTCCAACTTAAAAAGATCTTTGTGTATATTGAATGTTACTACTACGAACTAAAATGTAGTTCACAAAAAAAATTCAAACGTCTGATGCTCGACGAGAGAAAAGCATTTAAAAACAGAACGATGTACTGGCTGACAATAAATCGTACCAACAAAAAGGTTGAACATCACGGCTCTGTGGCCTTTAAAAAAACTTTATTGTTTCAAATTCAAGTGATTGACGACCATTAATATTACTATACTTCGTCCTGAAAATAGAAAATATTCTTTTGTAATATTATTTTACCCAATTATATTTGTAGTGAGATTACGAAAGTTTCAAGTAGATTTATTTTGGAAATATCGTTAATGTTTCTACTTGAAGTGGAATAGGAAACACCTGTGACTCACGCATTACGAACGCAGTTCTGAATACGAGAATTTCGATTATGAAAATCGATGTCAAACGGTTGTTATTAATAGGCTCAAGCAAGCAATATGTAAATTCATTCGCTTGAGAAATGTTTTTGTTTTGAATATATTCTTCAAGTTCTCCTTCGTAGCGTTTGTACGTAGATTGTAGAATGTGTAGAAGACTTAAAAAATACAATCTTATCTCAGCTCTACTTAATGAAAACTCAATTATAAGCTTAAAATAAATTGTCAAAATATTCTACAATTAAGTTCACTACTTATGAACATAACGAACTAAATCCTACAAATAGACGCCATATTGAATCGAATCCCCACAATAATTTAACAAAAATATTTCCCCTTCAACTTGGGAAAATCGCTCGAAGCGCACTTTGTCGGACACTGGCCACAAGTCGGACAAGACACAGGCTTGGACATGGCACAACCTAGTCTAGGTACTAGGCACTAGGCACTAGATACTGGGCACTAGGAAATACGAGCATGCCTGCGGCGCTCTAACGCTTTGAGTGAAAACCCGTGTATGGCAAACTACTGCGATGCATAAATATGGCAGCCGAGTGATATAAAATGTCGGTATTCGATGCTGTCATATGAAGTGTGTTGTTGGAATTTAAGTGTGAAGGGATTATTGTGTACTTGGCTTTAGTCGTATATTGTGAACTAGATAAAGTTATGTTCTCGTAAACCGATTTGTATATTGAACGAAATTCAGTTAAATTATAATAAAGAAAACCATTAACCCTAAAAACTTTAACCAAAGATTTAATCACACAGTATTTAATGAAGTATCAGTCTAAGGTTTCTTTTGCAATTAAAATCCATTCATTAATAAATGTTGGCATCATAACCGTTGGTTTAAAACATAATTCTATTTATAAAATATCGGCACAGCGAACCGCAGATGAAATAAACGAACGAACACGAAATAATAATTGTGAAACTCCCTCCTAACTATGTAAATCAATTAGACGGTTCGGAGGTCTTCAAAATAATTGGATCAAATGAAAAGCTCTCATTTCAATAAACAATCCACAGACATCACAAGTTAGGGCTGTCACTCATTCGACTGTAATCCGCGGCATTCTGATCTGACGGTTATCGTCTACGAAGTTGTGACACTAATTATTTTAGCGGAGTCTAGATTTGAAACCAGGTCTTATAAAACATGTATGGATTATTCTGACGGAGGTCAGACAGATTTATAGATCCGTAACTTGGTGTATAGACATAATATTTTGACAACCCTATTAATTTTGTTACAGATATCATAAAAATGTTCTTTATTACTTTTGCTGTTGTGTCATTGAAATGACCTGACAACTCGCAATCTCAGAGTTACAACAGACAATTAACAAAATCATGTCAAAATTAACTTGTAGTTAGATAAGATATGCAAAACTATTGAACCAATATTGTTATTATAATACCAAAGAGAATTGAATAACCATAACACCTCATCAGAACAACATTGCACATTTCAACAAAAAAAATAATAAGTAACATTTACTAACGTCCCATTTCACTTACGCTATATACTGAGCCTGAGCCTGAGTTGTAAAATAAAAATGGTTGCCATTTCACGTTAATTCTCGTGTTTCTCTTCAAACAACCACTAAATCCATATCGTATCAAAAATTTGGATATTCATCATAGCCACGACGGGTGTTCTGTAGCCCTCTATAGCCTCTGTGCCCTCCATATCCCTTAGCCCTCCATAGCCATGGGAAGCAACAGCTGCGTACATTAAAATATCTTCAACTAAAAACGTTTCTTTTGTAACTCCTATGTCTAACCCGCGGCGTTTCTTGCTTTATTCCTCTGATAGTTTAAGTGCATTGTCACTGTGAGTTATACGTTTTTACATTTTTGGGATGTGAATTATAACGATCCCTTTCGTATTGAGAAAAAATATTGAAGATTTTTTTCTCGATCGTTCTAAATAGCCATCTCTTTATTTGCCTTAGGTGATTGTCAGATGCATACAAAGCAATCACGTATCTGAATCGCTTATCAGACTATAATAAGTGTTGCTGCTGAACCGTGAAGGCCTAGATTTGATATCTGCAGTTAGCCTTGTTATTCTCTCTTACATTAATTGCAATTCTTCTGTACCATAAATAGCAACATTCCTGCTTTCTATAATATAGGATCACACTAATATAACAAACTAATTTCGTATACCTTTTCACTATGACCTTATTAATCACTCATGACCCTTTTCTACACCATTCGTTATAAAACTCCACATCTACAAAACAAAATTTTCAATTTCAAAGGCCAAATATTCAAGTTCAGTTCTGGTGAATCAGTTACGAAGACAATGGCGCCAACGAAGATTGATACCAAGTCTGAAGTCGTCCATCAAAAAACAGAACCTACTATACACCCTATATTTATGACAACTCACTATACAAAAGAACCTTTCATTTATTACTTACTGAACAAAAACTTGTCATAGCGATATTAATGATATTTGTGAAATTAAATAAATATTGTTGTACTTAGTTTGGAGGTCAGAAAATGCATTACGCAAAGAAAATATGAATTGTGATATTTTGTTTGGTTTCCCATACAGTTGCTTAAGCTTTCCGTTGCTTAACCGTATATGAAGTACGATTTTACAAAAGTATCCAAATTGAAATTAATTTTCATTTTTCACATTATTTTTCTTCAAGTTGTATATCTGTCACCATTATCATTTTTTTTTAATATAACGTCATCATAGTGCCTTTTATAAATAATGTACATCGTACGGGCACACGAACAAAATATATTGATACTTTATCAATATACATACATCTATATTAACTGGACGTTGAATAAAATATACTCCGTCGATGATATATCTACCGAAAAAGATACAAACACTAACCAATATACGTAGAACTTTTCGATGAAAGCAAATGTAAAGACAGAAGAGGTCAGATAAAACTGGCCGTATATAATGTCGGTTATGACGAAAAGTTAAAATAACATAAAAATATTATGGAGGTCACATATGCTGCCCTTCAAATGTCCATAATGTCTTGCGGTCAAATACATAAATTCCCTTATGTAACACGAAACTCAGTATCATGATTCTGTAAAGTTTTCCTTCTGAAGAGCTTTTACTAGATACTATAGTCGAAAATTCAGCATTAAGCTTTTGAAGAAATATATACATATATATATGTAAGTCTGTAAGTAAATACACTGAAATGCTAAAAAAAGAGATCTTTATTGATATAGGAAACTTTTTGAATATGTATATATTATAACATTTAACTTTAAAAGGCGCAAGGTCAATAAGGCAGCTTCGGGTAAAACTTTCTGATAAATAAAAACATTAAATAATTCTCTATTTAAAAAAAAACATTGTTAAGAGTGCAAAGATTTGATGTTGCCATACATGTTACATATCTATCCGTTCATTACCAAGTAATTAATCGTCCCAACGTCGACAACGTCAATTAAACCGAATACCAGGTTATAACTTAAAAAGTCCCATTTAGATGACCTTGAATATAAAAAAAGATCCAAAACTTCACTTTTTAATTTCTATTAAACATTAAAATTCACAAATTTGCTCAGACAGCTCATTTCATACATAGTCGTATTAAAATAATACCGCTCTACGTACTTTTATAAGAAAATACCCAAGACGTATAATTCAGAATTTACTGCATAGTGACGTCACAAAGTAGCAAGCGCCGAATTAAACATAATTCTCGACTCGCATCTCAGAAACTTCTATCAAGAAAGAAATAAGTTTTGCACAACGAAAATTAGATTCGAAAAACTAATTTAGCCACAAATAGGATTGTTGTATAACTGCTTAAAGAAAATTCAAGTGCTTCTCACATAGTGAAAGTTTGAAATTTTAATCAAATTTTAAACAAATCCGTTGGTTAAGTTAATGTAGCTAGATTCGTCTGTATGTGGTTAGATACTTCTTTCATGACTATGCAATACAGACAAGATTTATTTATAAAGTTTTGAAAACTTTTTCAATATCCATTAGAATTTGAAAACAAATGTTATTTAGAATGTGATTAATATGCTGTATATTAACAAACAAACATATATGTATATTAACAATGAACAACATATTAACAAAGAACATATTCGTATCAATTTTATTACTAGACACACCCCAGAATACACCGTTCATGCACTGTTCATTACCAAAAAAACCACAAGAACTTTTCGACCCTTCTGTCCACATAAAACCAGCAATTGAGTCCGTCTGCA